AAGCAGCACTGCTCACTGTTACATTTTATTCACTGTACTTTATGTGTTGCCTTGGGTTTATCAAATTAAAATCTGCTGTATGTTAATTTACTTTCATGGTAGTTAAACCACAATTATCTTCTGTGGGACCGTATGCAGAAGAGCACATCTGGACGATGTTTTAAAGAATGCAATGCCTTTAAACAGTTTCCCCAGAATATTCTTGATAATATTTGCCATATTTGGAAACGTTGCAATTATAATAAACACACATTTGAAGTATATCTGTCTATCCCAATGACTGTTAGAATATTACAAACATAAACAAATATTTTGGTAGGATGACGTGATCAGTGATTAATCTCAATTAGACTGTGAAAACTGTGATTAAATAGATCAACATAAGAATATTGTTTACCATTGAAAAGTCTTGACCAAATAGCTTGTTTGCATGTAACTTGTATTGTCAAGATGTCTTTGCTAAACAACTACACAAAATTTATCAAGTTATTTTAGGTCTGCAATACTTAAATCGTACAACGCGACTTCATTTGGTTTTATATGTACCAATAATTGATTATTTTGATGCAATTGGTTCATATCAGTGTTTCTGAAACTTTTTCATGCCCTGGAACATTTAACTCATTTGACAAACAGCCACGGATCACCTGATCTGACATTGACCCTGCCATAACACATCTTAGTGTATGATGCAGCCTGAAATAAAAATACTTGTCTCAACTCACGTATTGTTGTTTTCTTTGTTCATACTAATGAGAAGAGTGGTGCTGTTTGGTAAATGTGACTGGTCATGATAAAGCCATGAACAGTACTTGGCCATTTTGAGTTATTTACAGATTCTGAAAGTGTGGAGGCTAAGCTTTCCAATCATGTCAAACACATGGAAATTAAAAAAAAAAAGAAGTTGTTCTTTATAACCAAGTGTTATGTGCATTAATAACATTTAGGGCTATTTGTGATTTAGAAGCACAATTAAAGAAAAATAGACTTGAGTTGCTTTAACAGAAACAAAACAAAAATCATTTTCTGCACTGTTACATATTAAATTAACATTTTAAATAATTAACCTATTTATGTCAATTGTATTAATTTAATTTAATATTTTTTAATTAAATAAAAATAACAATTGCTGTTGACCTGAAAGCAGAGCATCACTCGTTACCAAGCAAAGTTGTAAAAAACAAAGAACAGTTCTGACTAACTGGAGCGATTCCTACCGCTAACCATACTGTAATCCTAGAGTTGTTTTCTTTCCACCGGTATCTGTAGCTTTTCTTTTGATTAAGCAACCTATCACTGCTATATGTTGTTGTTGTTGTTATTGTTATTATTATTATTATTATTATTATTATTATTATTATTATTATTATTATTATTATAAATTTAGTGGGAGGCTGTTTCTGCCAAAGTACAACATCAACAGAGTAAGGGACTCCTTTGTCCCTTGTGCAATTAAACTGCTGTTAATGATTTTTTTTTTCTTTCTAATGTCTTAAGTGTCTTATGTATTATCTGGCAGGGCTGTGTGGGAGAGAAATGACAATTTCACCAAGGAGATCTATCTATCTATCTATCTATCTATCTATCTATCTATCTATCTATCTATCTAAATATTTATTTTGTTAATTTAAGAGTGATTTTCAAATTTGGTCTGATCCCATTGTGTATTCCACTGAATTTTTTCAGAATATCTAAAAATGAATGACGGTGGGCCCTGAGGATCAGGTAGAAAAAACATCACATATATTGTTATTGTCCTTTGTTGATAATGACAGACAGATCGTCATGTATTCAACACAGTGTTGGCTGATTTAGCTGGTATAATTCCCCTGTGGCAGGTACATTCTGAATATGAGTGTGCTTTCTGTGAAGTGTGCGTGCGTCTTACTGCAGCAGGGGAGTTGACCACAGCCAGGTTGTAGCCATACAACATAGAGCTCCCAAATGAAGTCAAAAATGCCACTGCTAGCAGAGAACCAGTCAGTTGCTGCAATAAGAAGCAGATATGGGTGTTCAAAAGAACTGCATCCATAAATGATGGGAAAAGTAATTGCTTGTTTCTGTTACTGTCCAAAGAGCACATGCACAATGTCACAAAACATTTGGAAATTCTTCAAAGAATGATTCTTGTAAAATTAAGAAAATTACAGACAACTCTAATCATCCTCTTCCTGAGGTTGCTACACAACAGCAGTGTTTCTGTGAGAGTTGCAGTTTTTTTTTTTTTTGTTTTTTTTTGTTTTTTTTTTCCCAATTTCATTGCCCTCTATTTGTGCACAATGACATTAAAAGGAATTCTGATTCTGGCTCTTACAGTAATAGACTTCCTCAGAATGTCTGAGGCCAAAAAGGCTCTTCTTGGCCTCAGCATGTACAACACTATTTAATTAGGCTTTAATAAGGTATGATCAAAGTAAATCAATCATTGTCTATACCCACTTATCCTTTCAGGGTGGCAGACAGGTTGGTGCCTATCTCCAGCAGTCACTGGGCAAGAGGCAGAGTACACCAGTCCAACAGAGACACATAGGATATAGAATCACACACACGCTCTCACAGTTTGCTTATTGAATTACGGGACAATGACTCCACAAAGTCAAGGATCCAGCAGGGAGCACGAGACACAGGTGAAGTTAAATACACAGGGGCTAATTAGGGGAACACGAGACAGCCGGAACCAATCAGGGTCTTGACAGGACAACACAACGCAGGGTCTACATTAACCAATAAACCCACACGAAAACCAATATCCACACAGATTTGTCTAATAAACGTTTATTCAATGGGAAAAAATGGAGATTAAGGTGGATCTAACTGCAGACTCATTTTGTCCGTATGACCTCAATTCACACAAGTTCACAGCACACTACAGAAGCTGAGACGTGAATGACCAGTAAAAAATGAAACCAAAGTATCCCGAGCTCCAGGACGCTCCATGATATCATTTTACAGCACAAAGTCATTGTTCTTATTAACTGGAGAAGGGGTACTTGGGCAAGATCCATACCATATCACAAAGCCGTTCAAAGCCGTTCCCTGATAAGTGTTTGACCCTTTGGTGTTTCTCAAAGCACACTGAGGGGTCAGTGATGAGAAAAGAGAGAGGGATCTTTTTGTGCAAATGGACAGTTTGCAGATATCTTGAAGCAGAGTACATCAGATGACACCATGTTGGAGGAAGTTTGTTTTGCCTTTCTCAAACATCCTGTATTTATTGCTCACATCCCTAACTGCAACTGAGCCATTTAATTTGCTTGGCTGGCAGCCAGCTCAAAGGAGGCCAGAGGGGAAACTGCTAAATATTTTTCATGCAACACTCCAACAACCAATTCACTCGCCAAATGTATTCTTTGTGCTCTACATCTTTAGACTGACACTTTATTTCCTGCATTCACTCATTTTTGACAGCCGAGCATTTTTTTTTCTTAACGGCACAAGCTGACAGGTACAACAGAAATTTAAGTCTTAGACACGAGGGTGTCTAAAACAACATCATAAAACTATCCATCCTTCTCATGTGACATGAACACTCAACTTACCGAAGTAATTTTCCCCGATGATGGAATTAAAATCTCCTCAGCCATTTAGGAGTTTCGGGATCTGGTCCAAAGCAACAAAAAGTTAAAAAAAAAAAAGAAAAAGAAGAAAATAGATCCTGTCTACACAGCAGCGTCTGTCATAACTGTAATAGCAGGCGTGGTCACTTTGGTTCCAAATGAATAATTCTGGGATGTTGTTAGTGTGCAAGTGTGTTGAGCAGCAGTCCACAGGCCACTAATAACAAGCTACCACAGTGTCATCACATGATAGGAAGCAGCGTGACAGACGGAGAGAAAAGCCTGCTGAGAGCAATTAGCCATAACAAAATTTTAGAGGTTAGGGGAAACAAAATGAATAGAGGGTACGAATAAAAAAAAATGTAAGGAAGAAAGTAAGAACTGAAAAGTGAATGAATTAATAGTGAAACTGGAGCTGGAGTAAGACGAGGGGAAAAACCAGTGGAGCGGAAGAATAAAAGTGAAATAAAGGACAGATGAGACCTGAGGAAAAAGAAAAACCCAGACAAGCAGGAGAGGTGAGAGGAGCACTAAAGAGAGAAGTCTGAAGAGTAAAGACAGAAACAAAGAAACAGACGTTTTAAAGCGCAAAAATTGAGCCATAGGGAAGAGATTAGAAGAGATTAGGACTGAACCAAAAGTGGAACTCACCAAGTACACAGTGAAATGAACAATGTTAGGTAAACACTTAGAGTCAATTTCAACACAGAGCCACATAAGGTCCCACCCTGAACAAAGTAAAGTCAGAGTCAATTTTACTCTATAATCACTTATAGAGTAACCGATAGTGTGATAGAGTGTAGCTTACAGCAGTCTGAGAGGCGAGGCCGCCGTTTTGTGCCATCTGCCCTTCTGACCAACACTACCTGGTACGGTGGGTGAGTTGAACTGGCAAACCACTGATTACAGGGCAAACTCCTACCACTGTCACTGTCGTCCCCCAAATAACATTCTATTTCTGTGCTAAACTTGTTATTTTAGTCAAAACTTTAGAAAATTTTAATTTTGAAAAAAATCTGGCAGATTTTCCCTGAAATCAACAACAATTTCTTTTGTTTTGTTGACATTCAGGTTTAGATGGTTTGCATCACACCAGTCCACCAGATGTTTCACCTCCTCTCTGTAGACCGTTTCGCTGTTGTACCTAATGACCTACCACAAACTTAAAGATGTGATTGAACCTGGGATGGCACTCATGTGTCGTCAGGGTGAAGTGTAGGGGGCTCAGTACACAGCCAGGGGAGGGGGCAGGCAGTGGTGAGGGAGATGACCCTTGTGGTAGTTTTGTCAACCCTCACAGACTGGAGTCTGTCTGTCAGGGAATCCAACAGACAGGGGGAGCTAGTTTACTCACCAGATGCTGGGAGAGGATTGTGTTGAAGTCCAGAAACAATTTTCACACATGGGGATTTTTTTTCCAGGTTTTTCAAGCTCAAGTGCAGTATGGAGGAAAAAGGGTCCTCTGTGCAGCGGTTGGAGCTGTAGGCAAACTGGAGCGAGTCAGAGAGGAGGGAAGTTTGGAGATGATGTGGGCCATCATCAGTCAGGGATCTGATTTTTTTTCTCCCTTTTTTATGACTCTAGTGATCTTTATTTTAAAGTGCTAGGACAGGAAAGTAAGGTAATGAGAGAGAGGGAAGACATGCGGCAAAAGTCACCAGGCCGGGATTCAAACCTGTGATGGCCACGTCGAGAACTGAGGCTTCTTTATGTGGGTTGTGAATAACCCCTGTACCAACACAGTACCTCCTTTTTACTTATTTTTTACTCCTTTGAAGAGTCTCTGAGTGTCCTAAAAAGTGCTACAAAAATTTGATGTACTATGATTATGATTATTATTAACGCGTGAATGTGGAAGTGAATGGATGAATTCACTCATGCTTTGGTGAACCTGTGGATTTCATAAATCACTTCAAGTCATTTACTATTATTATTATTATTATTATTATTATTATTATTATTATTATTATTATAGAAGGGTCCATATGAAATGAGACCACCTATATGTATGTATATATCTTAAATGATCCTATTAAACTTCATCTGATAGTTTCCATAGCTGTAAACTTTTTCAGACATTGAATATTTAGCACGATTGGAAAGTCCCCAAGATCATATGGCTCTCAAACTCAAGTTTGACTTGATTAAATATCTTCTTGCTATTTTTGAACATAGTGGTTTCTACTGGCACATGGTGAGATTCATTTGAAACAGCCCTGTCGTCACGCCTCTCAGTGGTCATGTGCTCATAATTTTGGCTACAGTTCATGGAGCAGTAAGTGTGTTTCCTATGGCTGGTTGCTGGGTTACAACCACCCGCCTAGCATTATGTACTTCCTAATCCTATGACTTACCTCCACTGATTAAGCATGAAAGACTGGTTTTGTTCATTAAAGCCTATTTTTCTGTGCTAACAATATCCTCATTTATTATACATCATGATTTTTGTACATTTGTACAATGAGGTCTGGAAACTGAAACAAGTATGGTAATTATGCCAGGGTAAACTGTTCAAAGACAAGCAAACATGAAACATCCACAATAGTCTATCAATACTTTTTCCTCCAAATGCCCATCCAACCATTGATTATCTTTGTATGCTTATCACTAGTGGGGTCACCAGGGCTGCTGGTTCGTCAACAGGCAAATATTATGGACACCAAAGTAAAGTTAGAAAAGTTTTCTGGTAGAAATGAAAGATTGGTTCTTCCAGGCTTGCAGAAGGAAAGTGCATTCCCAAAATACAATGGCCAGCAGAATTAAATAATAAAAAAAAGGATAACGACTGCAACTAAAGACCACAGACTTGCAGTCATTTAGAGAGGTCATCCTCTTTAAATAGTCTTTTTGAAGCTATAACATTAGTTTTTGTCACTCTAAAAGCCCTTTTTCATGGAGTTTTCCTGCATTAGGATGTTCTGACGTTAGATCTTGGAGGCCCTCCAGTGGTCAAATTCAGGCCCCAAGAAAATGACATTAGACAGTTTGGCTTTTAAAGAATACATAATACATAAATAGAGTTAATCTCACAGAAATCAAGTTTTAAAAGTACAAAGATAATAACAGATCATTTAGATTTGTATTTTAAAAGTTATATTAGTTATACTACTACTAGTATCTAAAATAACTGTGATAATTATAAGCATTTTTTTACTAAAATAATATATTGTCAATTGTGATTTTAAATCATGTTTCGGTTACTCCGTTCTTGCTCTAAACCATGTGTGTCAAACTCAGGGCCGGTGGGCCAAATCTGGTCCACCGCAGCTCTTTATGTGGTCCTCCAGGCTCCAAATTACATCAATAAATCCCTCCTGTTTTTCACAATTCCAAAAATTCACACAAAATCAACAGATCTCCACATTTGTTTCTGATTTTACTGCAATGTTTTCCTCAAAATTGGTCAAAAACATTGGGTTTAAGTCACTGATGCCTTGGTCTCTCTTGCTGTCAAGTTGTAGTCCAAGATTGATACAACAATTAATAAAAAAAATCACATTTAACATCCTAGAATAGCGCAAATATTGCAAAAATTCCTTAGAAAATATTTCTAAATCAGTACCACAAAATCTGTGATTTTGATTGCAAAAAAACACACAAAAACAATCACAAAATTCCAAAAGGACTCATCAGTGACTATTTAAATTCAAGAAACACTTACTGAATGCTGAAACAAACATCCATTTATTGATAGTCTAACCGTTAGACTGTAACAGTTTAATAGATTTTATCAATACATTCTGGCCCTTTAAGAACATTCAAATTTTTGTTAGGGCCCAAAATGAAAATTAGTTTGACACCCCTGCCCTAAACTCTGCCTAAACTGCCTCCTTAATCTCCTGGTCCCACTAGCTGAAGCTTCTCCCAGAGGGAAGCAACATAGTAGTTTAAAGGAGGAGCTTGAAGATGGATTAGCTAGTGTCATCCATGCTGTCATTACCAATGAGAAGCCAAGCAGGAAATGGATGACTCTCATTTGTTCCCATTATTTAGCCAATAGCCATAATATTCACACAGACACACACAATCTGCGAGCTGTCATCACCGTGAATCATTTCCATTATGCTGGGAGAGTGTCTGTGTGTGTGTGTGTATGTGCGTGTGTGTGTGTGTGTGTGTGTGTGTGTGTGTGCGCGTGAGTGTGTGGTAATCACAAAGCTTCACAGGGGTTTCACAGTACTCCTGCAGTTTTTAAATAATGACAAAGAAATAAACATCCTCTAATAAAGGGATATTAGCAAAGGAGACTAAGAATATTATCATCATAACATATCATTATTAGCCTGATATCTACAGGGTGAATTCAGGCATGGTAATTGTAACAGATTATTTTAGAGGAGCAGAGGCGGTCCTAGCCTTTTTGGCGAACCACCTTTCTGGTGTCACCCCGTCCTCCCTCTTCCGCCCCGCTCCTCGAAGATGTCGACAGGCGGTGAGGGGTTTGGGTTGGTTTTGTTGTGGGTCACACATCTGTGTCTGTGTCATCCAGACAACACAGGTCGGATTTTTTTCGAATGCGACCCAGGCCACTTGGGTGCACGATACATATGCGATTCAAATATGACCTAACGTCCAGGTGGCTTTCATCCGACCTGAACGTCACTGATACTCGACAAATGTCACTGTCACTACTCTGTATGCTGAAACGCACAAGCAGGTAGAAAAACAACAACCATGACCGATTATAATGAGGGTTACGTTGTTAAAGTGCTGGCTCCAGTAGAACAACTTCAAACGTGTAAGCTATGTTCCATTGTCAGCATCCATGTTTACTTCTGCAAAAGCTGAGCACTTCTTCTTTTTATGGCGGTTGGCAAAATACTTTTCTTTGAGTCTTGCTTTATTCTCAATGTCTTCTAACATCCATAACCAAAGAAAAGAACGGGGGACGACCGTTGGTCTTCTCTTCTCCTTCTCTTTCCCTACTTTCTGGTGTGATCATTTGTGTCCACAACAACCTCATTACATATAAATATATTACAATTTTGACTTTGAATGAAAACACTTTTATAATTATGATGATTTTACAAATAGATTGATTTAAATATCTCTGCGTTCACTCAGTGGTCCCATTGGTGTATATTTTTGTCATCTGTATTTCTTACACAGATGATGTTATCTTTGCTGTGGATTAAAATTTCTGAACCTTCTGCTTATAATAATTCATGCTCTGATTATGAAGGGGTTTTCAATTGTGTCTTATCCAGAACCAGATTCATTAACTTAATTAATAAACTCTGTGAAAAAAATAAAAAGTTTGTTGTTGTTACAAGTTACAAGTTCGAAAGACGGTAATTGTCGCTTTGTTCCTAAGTGGCAAAGTTTACTGCCGGAAAATAAAAGTGTGTGTGGTAATTATAGTGTCAGTGAAATCAAAACAGCAGCAGGAGGGTGATGGACCTCTTACCTTTATCTCTGTTTCCCAGCCAGCGCTGACATACCTCACCACACAAGCACACAGGTGAGAAATCAAGTGTGAAGAATCTTTGATAGGTGTTGCTTAAGTTATTGGCAAACACACAAACCCTTCGTACATCACGCAATCACATCCTCACTCATACTATATGAAGAGTTGAGAGATGTCTTTTTTTTTTGGGGGGGGGGCAGGAGGAAGCTTCACTTTGTATCAAATTAAAAGCAGATGCAGACTCAGACGGGCCACCAGCAGCAGCACAGGGCCACATACCAGGAGAGGCCAAACCGAAACTGTGGGACAGTTAGCAAAGAGGTTGTCATCAACCTAATGGTCAGTTGTTGTGATACTCTGTCTCTGGTCCATTTGCCTCTGTGGTCAGATTCAATTTCAACCGGTATGCCTGTGCGCCGCTCTTCCATTAGCTGACAGATGTATCTCACTCCTTCAGGCTTTGGGGGTCCGGCCAAATTTTAAGGCCAATTGACTTTTAATATGAATCACGGTGGGACGCCACGGACTCATCCCATCACAGGAAATTAACACCCTGAAGCGCACACACTGTTGTAAGTAGTCACTTGTGATGTGCCACACAGACACACACACACGCACTCACGCATCCACGCGCACACACATACACACACATATATAGTACATCTTTCTGTTGTCACAGGCACTTGGCACTGACTTCCATTCATTTTTCATTCATTTCAGCTCAACCTTTGACTCTTATGGTCAAACTGAATAATTAGCAGTATGTGCCAATCTCTAACCCAATTCACACCCTAGTCTGAAACCGAACCCCTAACTCAAATACTTCTTGCTATGAAGATACAGGCTTTTGGAGCTGCTGGTTCCCCAACAAATTTCCCCAATTTGTTGGGGAAATTATCATTACAGTGTATCAAACACAATGCCACACACACACACACACCCACACACACACACACACACACACACACACACACACACACACACACACACATGCTTATAGACAACACCATGGGATGCAGGATACCGACACTTGTAGTGCAGTCACTGGTTTCCTGTCTGATCTGATTCCAATACTGATCCAATACAAACACTTTGCTCAACAATTTTTATAAGTAGTGTGTTTAGCATTATAGCTTTATAGAAAATACAAGACAGATTACTTGTTTTAATCTATTTTAACTATGAATGATTTACATGCAAAAACATGTTTTGAAACGTTGCTTATCCAGTGACGCATCTGAAAATGCTTATGAACGTATTAAGCTGAAAAAAATAAGGATACAGTTTAGGACACCGCATCAAATTAACTAAAACTGACTGATGAAAAAAATAATTTTAAGTAATTTTAAGAAGGAAAAGACAAGAAAATAACCACACACAAAAAAAAATCAAGTGAGGCATGCTAACACCAAAACCTTCAATGTAACAAGAGTTAAATATGCGTAATGTTAGAGCCTGGAATAATCAAGTCCTCACCTTTCAGTCCTAGAGGCTGAAGTATCACATTTTCTCATCAAAGTGACTATTAGTCACAGTACGCAGCTGGGCAGCAGGGGTGAGGGCAGAGCTGCGCGACACCAAACGGCGTTATTGAACATGTCGGTCTTTCGTCATTAATCATTAAGAACAAATGAATCACTTTAGTCATGCTCTGGAGTCTGGGACAGCCGCCGCCTGCTCAATGGGATCATGTTCACCCTTACGCTCTAACATAACACTCACAACTTCCACGGGTGGGAAGTTCTTAGGACTTTGCAACGACATCTGTTTCTGATACATGCAAAGATCTCTTCTTTGGTCTCATTTTGCCCAAAAAAAAAAAAAAAGTTGTTCTAGAAAATCTTGTGGTTTGTTCAATTAAACGCAGCTACGTTGTGCTGATCCTGTTTATACTTCCAAACATCTCTAAACGAGCCAGTGCTGCGACCGCCATGTTTTTAATCTCCAGCAACACATTTTTTTGTTTGTTTGTTTGTTTTCTCTCTCTCAGTGTATAATCTGATTTCCTTGCAGAGTGTTCTGGTGGCCTGGAACTCGGTAAACATGGAGCTTTCTTCTCTCTCATGCTTGATGGAGATGAGAACTTCTACACCAGACAGACTGACTGATGACCAATGAGCTGAAGTCGTTCTTAGTCTCCTGCGATCACAGCGTCACTCTGTGAAACACCATCTTCCACATCTCTCTCTCTCTCTCTCTTTCTCTCTCTCTCTCTTTCTCTCTATCTTTTTTTCTCTCTCTCTGAGCACACACACAGGATGGGGAGGGACTGATCCGAACACCATAAGTTGGGTCAGAGTGGCTTCTGTCAGGACATCACCGCCCACCAGACGGGTTCCAGTCGCATCCACTGAGAAGTGTAGCCCCTTGACCATCATGCAGCTGCAGAATCGACTCTCTGGGCAGCGGGCTGTCTCTTCCCGAACCCCAGGGCTCTGAAGTTACCTCCGTTCAGGTGGAAGAGCTCGAACTGCTATGACCTCTAAGGTCGAGTCGAAATGCTCTGAGGTGCCGGGGAAGAGGAGACTCAGTCCAGTGGGGCAGCTCCCACCGCCGGCCGCCTCCAGCAAGCCGCTGACGCCCTTCAGCATCGAGGACATCCTCAACAAGCCGTGTGCGAAGAGGAGCCGGCCGCTCCCGACGTCTCAGCGGGAGAGCAGCCCGTCCGAGCGGCCGCTGCTGGGCCTGAGCTCCCCGCTGTGCGCGCTGGAGGAGCTGGCCAGCAAAACCTTCCGGGGCCTGGAGGTCAGCGTCCTGCAGGCTGCAGAGGGTAATCCCTGCTCTGCTCTTTGTTTCTGCAACCGCCTTCAGTATTTCTGCCGACTGTTTTTTTTTTTTTTTTTTTTTTTCTGGGACAAGAATTTCTACAAGAATTTGGTCAGAATAATTCAACTTCTCAGGTGGAAAATAGTCTATGTATTTTATTATGTTCATTTTATTATGTTCAAACATATCAACAGTTTGCCTTAGTCATTTTTTAAAATGTATGTTAAATGTGTGTGTGATAGATAGTTGTGCACTTATTGACTGTTCATCTCTATTTGTTCAGATTTTTGTCCTGTAGAGTCTAAAAGGTTTTAATGCCAAGCGTTCTTGTAGAATAGACATTTATAGCAATATATACATATATAATAATTAAAACCCACAAAGAACATAAACATATAGTGCAATCCAGCACAATAACATCCATCTCTGAAGCATTAGACATTCTAATTATATTAAATTATTACACAGGAATCCTCATGTTTTTATTATATTGTTACAATGTTATTTACAAAAACTAGAGACCTGTAACTCATCCTTTTACATTAACAACTTTTTATTACCATGTGGCATTTTTATCCTTCAATCTTAATCTAAGAATGAATCTTAGCATTTAATGAATCTGCAGCGTTTAACACACATTCATGTCGACAGCTGGAGGATGTAAGAAACAAAGAGGTTATGATGAAATTAAACCTAAAAGTCTCAATGTTTGCTTCGCAGATAAGCTTCAAATTAAAAACAGATGGATACACATGGTTGTATGAAATACAGATTGAGATACAGACTCAAAAAGCAATAAAATGTAAAGAAAATAGACAGTAATGAATGCATATTTATCAATGGTTTTGACAATATTTAATAGCTTTAAACCAGAACCGATACCATTTAAAGAGACATTTTTGCCTCAATCCAGTAAAACAGAACTAGTTCAGAACCACAGATGTTACATGACGCTTTGGCAAAAGTGAACTTATCATTTTTGATAAAGATTTACTGCAGAGAATTCATTACTGAAGAACCATTTTGTTTTCAGATTTTAAAATAAAATAAAACAAGGATGGATATATTATCTTCCATGGGACGTCAATATTTATGGAAAATATTTTTTTAAATCGCATAGATTTGAATTTAATTTCACAATTTTCTGATATTACTGATACTTTTACTGTGGTTCTGTTGTGGAAAATCATTATAATCATTCCATGAAAAACAGAAAAAACTGCTGAAACCTTCATTCGTTGTTATTTCTATGTTTATGTTTTATTTTTATCAATTTTATGTAAAGTGATCTGAGAATTTAAGATGATTCAATTTAAACCTAACCTAATAGATTCAAACATTTCAGCATACACATTTTAACTCTAATATATTTTTGCGAAACAAGACAGTCAATTTACAGTAAAAACAAATATAATAATAAAAAAAAACAGATTTCAACACAATAAAATGAATGTGACTCCTATTGTATTTTTTTGTATTTTAATATTTCTATTAATTAATTCTATTTTATTTTTTGTATATAGATGTGGAATTGCATAAACAAATCTCATCCTGTAAATGTTCCAATTAAATAAAATTAGCTGGCTACTTTTTAGTCTAATTAATATTGTCCAAGCTTTTATTAGCGTGACTCCCAAAAGATCGAGTCACTTTCCTGGTTCCGTTCACTCTGTAATTATCTGGACCCGGTCTTTCTCTTCCTCTCAGGCCGGGACGGTCAGGGCCTTTTCGGACAGAGGAACGCCCCTAAAAAGCGCCGGAAGTCCCGGACGGCCTTCACCAACCATCAGATCTACGAGTTGGAGAAACGCTTCCTGTTCCAGAAGTATCTGAGCCCGGCGGACCGGGACCAGCTGGCCCAGCACCTGAACCTGACCAACGCGCAGGTCATCACCTGGTTCCAGAACAGGCGGGCCAAGCTCAAGCGGGACCTGGAGGAAATGAAGGCCGACGTGCAGTCCGCCAGAGCCGCTGGAGCTGTGGCCTTTGAGAAGCTCTCCAAGCTGGCGGAGCTGGAGAAGTGCGCGGCCGAAGGTCTGGGCCTGGTGGGGCGGTCCGGAGGACCGGAGCAGAGGTTCGGCAGGACTGAAGGAGACCTCAGCAGGCCGCATGCGTCTCCTACTCTTCCTTCTACCACGCTGCCGCGGGACAGAGACGGACCGATCAGCAGGTGCGGTTCGGAGGATGATGATGATGAGGAGGAGGAAGAGGAAGAGGAAGAGGAGGAGGAGATCGATGTGGGTGACTGAAGCATCCCACGTAGTGTGGAGTGACTGTATTGGTTTCTCTACTTTAACTCAATTACACTAATGAACGTGGTTGACTGAATATGAAGGTATTTTTTGGTGCTAACGTATTTTTGGCTTGGAACTGAGATGTTGGAAAGAAAAATCTTGTTAGAGCTATGTAATTGTAGATTTTATTTGTAGTACAAAGTACAAAACAACAATTACACCTCTTCAGATTCAAATTCTTAAGTACAAGATGCAAATTGTATTTTTGACCCACGCTTACAAATAAAAAAAGGTCTTGGGTTGCTGTGTTGGCACAGGGGTTAAGGATAACCCACCTAGGCCTCAGTCCTCCATGCAGCTGTTGCAGGTTTGATTCCCAACCTGGTGACCTTTGCCCTATGTCTTTCTCCTTCTGTCATTACCCACCTTCTGGTCAATTCACTGTCAAATAAAGGCCACTAGAGCCAATAAAACCCTTAAAAAAAATCTTGCATCTATAAATTTGCCCAAATGGTGTAAAACAAATCCACATACCTGTGTCAGAAAAATATATTTGTTTCAATCACTCAGACACAAAACTACTGCTACACTGAACAGATTCCTCCATATGGGTCACAGATTCAGTTCTACAAGTCACAAATACAAATGTCCTGCTGTGATGTTTTTTGCTGCCCAGTAAATTATAAAACTCCTTCACTGAGCCTGTAAAATAGCTCAGAACCATAAAGAGTTTTGTATTTCACAGAATCAGTATGAGTTTTATAAACATGGCAAATCCATCCATAGACCAAATTAATAAAGATATCATTTTTAATACATTTAAGAAGATGAAACGGTGTCATGTAGCCTATTGAAATGTCCATTTAGCAAAAAACATTTTGTGAACAGCTTCCAAAGAGCCTGCATAAGAAAGTAAGATTTCAAAAACACAATCTGGGTTAGAGAAGAGAGGGGGAAGAGATGGTCATCAGGACGGGATTCGAACCTGCATTGGCCGTGTCGAGGACTAAAGCCTCCTTATGTAGGTTGTGCTTCACCCCTGGCCCACCACAGCGCCCTGGTCAGTACAGGACGTGTCTCTGCCGAAGGTAGCATCATGACGTCAGACGTAGAATACTAATGTAGCATCGAACTTAATTGTTTCAAGTAAAGTCAAAGTAAAAAGTTCCTGTAAGTTAAAAAAAAACTTTTAAGTTAATTCAACACAAAAAGTCAGTTCTCATCATCACTAAACCAAAAGAATGAAGTGAAATTACTGTAAATATTCCATAACATGAACAACAGCTCTATAAAGATGTAGCAGTAGTTTTGTGTCTGTGAGTGATAAATATTCACAAGTTTGGTTTTTTTCTGACACAAATATGCAGATTTGTTTTGCACTATTTGCTTTGGATCATTTGGGCAGTGTGACTTAAGTTACACTTTAAGTTCTTTGAGTCACTGAAGTTTGACAATTTGTGTATTTTGCTTAAGAATCCAAAGAGGTGTAAAACATCTACGATTACAGGAGTCCTTTACGATTTTTTCTCTGCCTCTTTAACTTTTCAGTTTTGAGCCACAAAACACTTTTGCCTCAAAAATACTTTCATAAACGAAGCCTTGTATTAAATCAGGCTGAACTGTGTACACTGATGCCGGATCCATGGAGCTCTGGGGTGTTTCTAGAAGGTGTGTGAGCCCCACCACCGAAGTGCCTTGAAGCGACGGGTGGCCTGAAAACATTTATTAATATTTTTCTTCAAAACTCCAGGGGGTTTTATAACACTCTAAAACAAACCAGATCTATTTTATTTTAACTGTCGTCCATTGGTCAGCCTACTTTTAATCGATTCATTAATATGCACAATCTGCAGCTATGTAATGCATGTCTTGGTAAGATGACACACACGTGTCCCCGCCGTGTCCCCCACCAGCTCCAGGCTAACACAGTCGGCCTGCAGCGATTTGGATTGGAGTCCATATGGTTCCAGCGTTGTCGTCTTCAGCTGTGAGCCACTTTGATGGATTAACTAAACCAATTAGACCCTGTTTGTGGACACACTCCCTGGGGCCATGAATATAAATGTGCCTCAGCGGGTCGCTGCTTTTTGTCTGGCTTAAAGCTTCCCAGTATCAGCTAGTACAAAACTTTCAACCGTTTGCTTCATTTTCCAAGGAACAGGCTGGTAGACTGCAGCCATGGGAACAATAAGCTGGTGAGTGAGTATGGTGTGCCAAAATATCCAGTGTTGTGAGTTAAAAAAATAAAATAAAATAAAATAAAATATTTTTAAAAAGCAATTAATATTCCATGCATTAAGTACAATAACTGGTAAAATCCACTGATTCAAATTTAAAACTGTTGTGGTTCGGTGTTTATTGAGCTATTTTGTGGTTGCTGTGCCACAGTGCACTATAAAATAATCTTAACTTTAAATGAAATCTATCAAGTAGATCCTAGCATCTGATTGGTTATAACCACAGCAAGTCAACATCCCACAAATTGTGAACAGAGCATCGGTAGCCCTGACTTCTAACTTAGACTAATAAAGACTGAAAAATAGATCGATGTATTGATTCCTGCATCACACAAATATTTTTTTTTTCTACTAAACATATTTTTCTTGGAAATGTATTCTTCTTTTTTGCATCCATGCAGAAACCTGCAGGCAGACAGAAACTGGTGTGTGAACCCTTGACAAAATTTCTCATTTACAGTCTTAGGTGTGGCTGTGCAAAATTGAGTTCTCGTCATAAGAAAGTAGTATTAAAATGAAAAATTGCTTTCTGAAATACAATTCATAGACTTCAAGCACACACAGACACACAAACACACATTTTTTTTTTGCCCTTGACAAAGTGAATCATTTAAGGATTCAATCTTGTACTTATTATTTTTGACACTTTTGGACCTCCGTATTCCATGAAACAAAATCATTTCATTACTGTAAGAGAATCACCAAACCTATTCTCTCTGCTGCTTACACTGTGATATTGACAAATATGTCTCAAAATAAAGACAAATATGTTTCAAAATGTTGTTACATAGCAACAATAATGTATTGTGTTTTTACTGTGTGTGTTGCCACAATTGTTTCCCCTTACTACATACAATCAATGGAGATGACACGATTCATTCTTTTAGTCCTTCCTTTGACGTTTCGTCTGGCGGACGGTGAATTGTCTTCATCAGTCTGCCACAGCAGAAGGCTGCACAGCAAACGACCACAGGGAAACGTAGCTTTTCTCCATGTGACAAACACACACAGAGAAGAAATATGATTTCACTCAAGTGGAAAATTGAAGTTTGATGCACACACCCCCACCCCGCTTGAACAACCAGACCTAACATGACCCCCCCACTCCCACCCACCCACCTCTCTTCATTTCCTCCTGCTGGACCCGCCTGCTGCCATGTGAGACCTTTCCAAAAGGACCAACACTCACAAAGTGTGAGGACCTGCTGTAATTAGGCCTGCTGGATTCAACTCAGGCTTCGCTGGTTTTCTGTTACCGATTCGGTTTCTTGTGAAAATTTCACTTGCGTCCATATTTTGTGTCTTTTAAAATGATTCACTTCTGCTCTAAGAATGTATAATGATCATAATTTTTTTTTAAACTCAAGCTGATGGAAGCTTGCCACCATGATTGAAAGCAGTGTGAAGTGCTTTGGGGTCCTATGGACAGACTCCTCTCCAACAAGGGACGCCCACTAGAGGGCCCCTCTAGTTTCTCGAGGGCCCTCCAGGAACTAGAGGAGCCCTTAAATTACAGTAAAACAGTAGCATGTAAGTCTCACTGTGATATCTGAAACCTCTTGAAATCCTGGTGTTCTTTGATGAACAAAATCAAAAGGGTGAGCATGCAAGCAGCAGAGTTTTATGTACTATATCTTTGACCCAAAATATCTGCTTCCTGTGCATTTTGGGGGGTTAGAGACCTTTTTTCTTGATTTGGGGGAGTGGGGGGATAACTACAAAACCATTTGTCCTGTCCCACGTTAGGGGGCGCTGTAGAGCAGTTTGGCCACGCCTACTTGAGATTCCACTTAAATCCAAAGACTTATAGCTGGTGGACAATTTTGGGTGAAGTTTGGTGAGTTTTTGAATATGTTGATTCCTCCAAAAAGCTGCGTAGTTTGTCGAAAAAATAATAAGCAATCCTGCTTATACAATAGGCCTTCGCAGCGCTTCACTGCTCAGGCCTAATAATAGTTATTTATACTATTACCATTTTCATGCCTTGAGTAGATTTAATTTATCAGTAGGCAGATGATAGCTAATCATCTTTTCATACAGAACAAAGCCTTTACTGGGTTGTGCTGCACAAACCCTGTGCTGTGTAAGGATGTGCTGAACTGTGAGAAACTGTAGCAGAGTGTGTTAAGCAGCCATCTTGGTTTTATGGTTGTATTTGCTAGAGCAGAGCTGAAGAAATGAGCTGTCTGTGCTGCAGGGCACAGCTTGATTGATCACTAAATAGGGTTCATTTGAAATTTTAGTTATTACATTCCTTTAGAGCCCCCTTAACACCACAAACTTCAATTTTATGGGTTATTGAGCCGAGAATGTCCCTGGTAAAATTAATATGTGTATTAATTTACTTTAACTGGTGATTAATTGGTATTCACAAATAGAACTATCCATGACTCCCCTCCCTCCTCTTCTCAATTTGCACATTAATCAAATTCTAGTTGATCATTTTGATAAAGAAACCGCTGGAAACCATAATCCACTCATACTGAAAGACATTTTTTCCTACATCGGAGCTCCTTGGCTGCTAAGCTACCTGCTGAGTGTGTTAAAGTCACACAAGCAGAATGAGTTCGGCTGGCTATTTCCTGAAAACAGAAATAGTGTGTGTACCACGATGTTTTTGTGCTGAGCATTCTCTTCTTAATATGGCAGAACTTTTAGATTTACAGAGCCCTTGCAGAGGGCTGGCTTGTGTATGCGTACTTGCATATTACAATTTGAGGACAACTTTCAAAGCATTTTGCCAAGAAATAGAGGTCATTTGTCCAAAGTGACTTTTTCCCGGTCCTCACAATTTTGCAGTTTTGCTGTGATTTAGAGGTATGGTGTGAATTATGTTTTAGTTAAAGTTCGGGTTAAGAATAGACTAGTAAGTGTTGGGGTTAGGGACAATGTCTGGGTTAGGCAAAAGTGCTGTAACTAAAATGAATGGACTCAAAACGAAGTCCTCAGTTTGCGCAAAAGTACAAAGATGTGTGTCTGTGTTTGCTTGTGCATGTGTGTGTGCCTGCACATGTGTGTGTGAGAAAGGGATGAGAAGGAGAGAGAGAGACTCCTCAGATCCGTGAGGACTGTCTGCCCATCATGTTGCTGACCACCAAGTCATCCTCATTTGTTCTTCTACTGACATCTTGTGGTGGATTCTATGTACTACATCCTTAAGTACACTTTTCGCACTATGACAGAAGTTGTTTCTGCAGTTAGAAACAGAGGCTGTCCCAGCCTGCTTGGCGCTGTGAGTGAACCTCATCTTTGATGGGATGATGGCTGCAGCTTTTCACCCAGAGTAATCAAGTCTTTAGATCAGATGTCATGATGTTTTCTGGGTAACATGGCCATTTGGATTGTGGTGTTGTACAAGAGGTCAAGTCCTGTTTCTATTTATTGAGATCCACAATTGCATCAGCAAAGTTGTTGACACTTAATGATTAAATGCTTCATATTTTGCAAGTTACTGAACCAGTCTTTTACTTTTAGCCAATCTAAGCTTTTGTGTTATATTTTGCTACATGTCAAATTATTGTGGAATTGTAGTCATATTTCTACCATTCATTTGATTCAATTTTCCACCAAGGGAAATCTATTGGCCCATCAGTCCCACCAAGAATTTTTTTTCTTTTTCACCAGCCAGCCCAATGTTATCCTCTTTGCCCTTCAAGTGGTGTTTATGTGAGCACTTCTATGTTAACGCTCAGTTTTAGACTTAGCTATGCCATTGGTAAAACTTATTTTACTCTGAAACAAACCATCGAGCGAGTCTCAG